GATGTAGTTTAATGGTTTATGTAAGGTGTTTTATTTTCACTTTCATTGTCCTCTACTAAATTCTACTTCAGACTGATGCTGGTTTGTTCTCTCCCATACGGGGTTATCGCCCATAATGTCTAGGCAACGCCACTGTAGTATGTTGTGTAGAAATCTGTTAATAAATACCTATGCTCTAATGATGATGGAGATGGTAGTCCTTAAACTTTCAGCGTCGTGAAATAGGACTGTTTTAACGTTTTTATTCAGGGTTGTCACTTTCATGTTGTTGTTCTGAGTTCCACACATTCTTCAGTTGTAGGAGTTCTTTCTTTGCTTTGATAGCCGGCGCCTTCATATCTACATCAGACCCCCTCCTGCATGTTTATCAATTATGTTGTCCAGGTGGGTATAGGTTCTCACGTTCTCCAGACATTCTCCATCAAGTGTGGCTTGGTTTATGGTCACTGCGTTTTATTTTAAGATCCTGCTTTTTTTAATCTGTTGGAGCCTACTGCCACAGAGGTTACTGCTATACTGTCTGTCTCCACTTCCTTGTGTCTCTGTGCATGAAATAGAATGGATAGGTTATCTCTTAAGCGTAAGCTGTCTGGCTACGTCCCAAATCCCTCAGGAGTTTCCTGCCTACACCGTCAACTGCCTTTTATTAGTAACCAAGAAAGTTGACGTAAAACGAAGATATCCATTCATTTCATTATTCAACAATGTTTGATAGCGTCTCACTTTCATAGATGCTTGGTCGATCTTTACAAGATCCGGTCTGTTTATCTGAAACCCTGAGATCTACAGAGTCTTTCATTCGTTTCGTAAGCAATTTGTTGATAGCTTTTTTGCTACTGACAGTAATGCCATCCTTCTGCAGTTCTCGCATTTGTCAAGATAATGCTCCTTCAGTTTACATGTGAGGCATCCCTCTTTCCATTTTGTCGCTACTTAAAATTCCACTGGAATCACTACGAAGAGAATATGAAACCCCTTTGCAGTTACCGCTACATCTAAATTCAGCTGGCTGTTGCTTTCTGACTCTATTTTTCTGAATGTTACGCTGATTTCTTCGAAGAATAACTCCAGCCTATGTTTCACCTCCTTATTCAACTTTCAAATGATTTATCTAATTACCAGCAAATTTTCATTAATACTTAAACGTTTTGGGATTATTTATTGTTGCTAATAAATGTGAGGTTTTATCAAAAAAGTTTAATACTTGAAAATGTTCTTGATAACATGATCTTCTGATTGAAAGATGATAGCACTTCTTTGAACATCAATGCATCCGCGGGAGGCATGCTCTAGACTGTGCAATAATCCAATTATTTATACTCTTACTTACCTGTCAGCGGTGCAAACAAGTTAGTTGCAACTATCGTATAGATGATGAGGTAGAAATCGACTTATTCAAAATAGAGGCAGTATAAATTGTTAAATTTGGAAAATTCATAATCTACGAATGAAAGTGGTATGATCTTGTACGGTTTCAGCTATCTAAACTTTTACAAGTTGGTTGTTATTCAGTGCTGTCTATGTGATTATCAGGGAGAGCAAAAGTTATAACCTTGGGCAAACATGTTAATGATAATGAGATTAACTAGTGAGAAACAGGTATTGTTGTTTTGGGTGTTCAGTACTTTCGATAGAGGAGAATATTTCATGTTTAGAAATTCAGAAAATTTAGAACCTAAAAATGTTCTGTGTATCCTTGACGAATTCGAAATATCTGGTTATATTACAAATCATAGTACAGAGATGTTTGCTTAGTTCAAAGTAGACTCCACAGTTTCTATTTTGAGCAGTTTTATGAGCACCAACTAAATTACAGTTAATTTACTATGTTAGTCCATTACAATATCTTAATGCAGTGGCTTTGTTGTCGCACATGGTCTTAAATATGACAAACGTCTCCCTAGGCAATTCAGATTATCTCATGGCAGTATTTTGTCAAATAAAGCTATGAAACATATTTCATCTAGAAAACAATTTTGAGAGTTGTGTTTATATGAGACAAATCAAGAAGTCAGACAGTGGTCGAGAGAAAAGGTGTTAAGTAATAGCCCATGCTTTAAAATAAAGTAGGATATTCAGTGAAGAATCAAGATGAAGAATTAGACTTATATAACTATCCAATTCTCGCTTATATTAATTCCAAGCTTGTGTTCATTTGTGTCAATAGAGCGCCATATTTGCTAGAGGTTGGTCTTTTGATAAACCTATTTCGCCGAAGCATGCAAATAGACTGAGTTAAATCAGTCAGTCTCACCAAAGTTATAAATATGTTCTAGGTCGTTATTAGTACACTAATATATGCTGCTAGAGTAACAAACTTGTTCCACGAATGCACGTTTTTTATGACGTGACTACCTAATCTATTAGACCTTACGTGGAAGTATCATCACTATATATTAACACTCTCTATTTTAGTAAAAATTGGTTGCTGTTAGAGACTTCTGAAGAATACACTTCGGTTGGAAAGAGGGTAATATATTTAATACGAAAAGCAGAAGGCGAAAGAAAGAACACACATGAGTGGCCTGGCCTGTAGTGAGCGACCCAACCAGTTGGCTGGAGTTGCCATTGGAATACATCCTGAAAGAACATGTGCACAAATTCTCTGCTCACTTAGCTTCCTAGCTAGAGGTATTGATACAATCAATCATGCATTTAACAAGTTTAAATAAATGGTCATTTCTAACTTACTACGTTGCTTATGTTAAACCATACAGATAAAGTGTTCCCACGTTCACCATTTCTGACCTTTTCAAGGTGTTAATTATCAAATGTAAATCTTCTCAGTTAATATACGTTCATCTTCAAAGATCGTGTGGTTGGAAATCAATATTTATACAAAACTACTCTTCAGCCACAGATCTGTTTACTGTGGTCGACTAATGAACCACCCTTGATCGTTGGCAACTTTGAAGCCCATTTCTAGACTATTTGATAAGAGAAGCAATTTTAATCGCTTTGTTTGACCTCATCTATAGCACTGGAGAATAATATTGTCTCATTCACACCAAAAGAATAGGATTATGTTGGGGCATGTTCAAAGGTGATTCGGGAAATCAGTTCGAAGATTTAAACCCGATACATGCGAATCTCTGGATCCCTAGCCTTTAAAGTAAAGTTGACCCAGGAACAATACTTTTATCGCGCCCCAGCATTCTATCGAAACCCTCCAGATGGCCAACTGATTCTCTTCTCGAATACGAAACTCATCGGAAAAATTGATGAAATAATGATATCACACGATTATTGCTGCAAAGTAAGCACGCACTTAGGTTCTTTTTCGAGGTCAAGGTTTAAGATACTTTACCTGCCAAAGCTTTTAATGCACTTTCAAAGAGTCCTTCGTTAGTAATCTTCCTAAAGACTCGAAACAGTAAAACAAACTAATTTACTGCTTTCACGAATTCCGTTCGTTTCATATACTTAGGTCCTTACATTGAGGTACTAGTGACCCAGTGCCATTAAAAACAGAGGCTAGTTAGGAGGAAATTTCTATTATTTGACCGTTACTTGAACTATTTAGAAAGATGTCCTTTGGCAGCGCACTATTTATATGTAAACGCTACGATTTCATCGTTATACGTTTCCACGTCTGAAGTATATAGACAATTTTCAAGCATGAAAACACATCCTAGGGGGACTAGTTCCGCTAAATGTCAAACAGAAGGGTATATATTTTTGTCTTGCTTCAGGTTATTTATCTTCTAATTCAGATAAAGAGAGTTTTTCAATTTAAACTCCAATACAACCTCTAAGATTGGTGTATCAAACTATAAGTGAGTGTTTTCTTGTCTTATAATTAATAGGTGGCGTATGGCGCTACTATGTTTGCGAAGGAGTTGGTTATAAGCTGTACAGATAGCTATTTTTTCTGGAAATTTTATTACAGATAATTGTTTCAGTGTAACTCACTTGTTTCGATTTTCAAAATACAGCTAGTATTTAACCAATTCGTGAAACACCTAAGTAGTTTAGAGTGTCAATGAAACAAAGACTCACTTATGACTTCGTCATTTCAACCGTTAGACTTTTCAAACCTAACCTCATCTGTTACGAAACGCTCTGCTACCACTATATTGACCACAAAGAAGTCACCTGTTTTCTGTTCGTACACAAAGGCCACTTTTGTTTCCTTTCTATTGTTGAGATCTGAGGGTCTTTGGTAGCCCCATGCTGTTTATTCTTAAATGATTATCGATTGAACTCACGTAAGTGAATAACAGGATGAATACGAGAATGGATTTTGGACACGTGTTATTTATACACGAGAAACGATGCAGAGAAGCATGCCGGAAAGGTAAAACATTCCCACTCGATATACTACTGAATGCAGTTGTTAATATAGTTCAAAATAGATGATGCGTAATGTGGCAAAGAGAAATGCTTTGGATAAAATAATGTGTAACAAACATACACGCAAGGCACATAAGTGTCGAAATAGAAGAACTAATAGTAAGATATGTATGACAATCATAATTTCCTATGAAAACAATAGTTATTATAAAGATAAAGTGACTCATAGTCACATGCTGTCTGAGTTATTAATTTCTGTTCAAAAGTTAGGATGAAGCACGCGTGTATTAGTATCAAAAACTACAAGTCCATGAATTATTTCGTACCTATTATTTATCCGTAGAAAATACATTTCTTATTGATTTAGCACTTATAATGCTGTCCAGCATTTTTGACCCATGGGTCAGAGATTGTAAAATTACCTTGTTTCAAGAGCTATATAGGATTTTCAAAGCTTAGCTCAGAACTAAATACATAAATTTGTGATCTGTCACTGAGTCATGTTATCTTTTTGTTTGTGTTTTAGATTGCGTTTGTTATCTGTGACACTAGGAACTGTAGGAATATCAACATTTTCACCTTAGTGTAAGCTTTTAATTCTATATCCATCCCCTTCTGGTTTAAATTTCATGTAATATAATATATATTATGCTTTTATCTTGTTCTTATTCAGATCTTTGAACTATTGGCGTACGGATTACGCTAATATGATAAATGGCACAGGTACGATAGTTTCTAGCTGAATGTTAAATTGATTTTACACTTTCATCATTATGAATATTTGAATAGCGTTTTCATATCTCATGTACAGCTTATAAACTTGATTATCTCCTAATCAACTCTTAAAATATGCACACTAACAGCTGTTAAAAAAACTTAAATTTTCAAGTTGATATTTAAATTTCCCGAACTTAGCATGTAAATATCCTAATGTCAGTCAGTCAGCTACAACGTAGGACCAAACGCATCTATACATCGGTCCAAGTTGCTACACCTCATTACCACAACACGATGAACAAAAACTCCATAGAAATAGTTAATTCAATGGTAGTAACATATGAAAGAAAGATTGCATATAATGATATAATACAGGAAGAAAGAATCAGTTCGTAGAAAAAAAGATATAAAGCAATTTTAATCTCATGGTTTAAAGGAAGATAGAAAGTGTATACACCTATGTCATTGTGATCGATTCTGAGCTATTTCACTCAGAGTCACCAACGATTGGTTACGATAGTCGCGCGGATCTCAACAAAGTAATGACTTCAAGGAATGATGTCACATTTTTGTTTGGCCGCCCCTAACTTTCAACCGTTTCCTACACTAATAATACCCTAATGCCTTACGCCTGTTACTCTTCGTGGAAGAACATAGGCCGCCCATCAGCATTCTCGATCGAACTCTATCCTGGGCAATCCTTTCCAGTTGTTTCCATCCTTTTGCTGTGTGCTTCCAATTCTATACACTCTCCGGCCTTCCTCCACCTGTAACTCTTCTAGGGTTAGTGCCGGTCCCAAATCCGAGTAAAGGAGAGTTGGGCATGAAGTCAGTAACCCCATCCCGTACAATACAACCTTGCTAAAGAATGCTAACTAGAATAAACATATGAAACCTAATGCCTACTGAGATGCTTAATTTGAAAGCAAAGAGCAGTAAGCGGACGAGCTTGGTAAACATGGTGAATCATTTTAATCGTAGATAAATCGTCGTCAACTGAGATGAACAAAATATGTTTAAATATCTAGTGCCACTATTTTCACTAGAGTATTATGTCAGTTACCACAAAAGTAGGTCATATAACTGATAATTCTTCTAACTGATTTACCATAACAGCTAGGATTGTGACTTAATTTTATCTTTCTGATGAATATTGAGAATTTTGAAACTGGAGAACGAAATTTCTCAATTGTTTCCTATATCAAATATTACTACTACTAATTTTTTTTACTTTCAGATGGGAGTGTTATACGGCCAGGATTACAAATGTCTTCTCGAATATCCTTTTTTGTGCCAGATTTCTGCAGATCCTTTCATTCAGATGCTGTGGGTTGGGCGACTGCAACTCATGACAGTAGTGTACATGTAAGTATCGGTATCTAATAATTACACGAGTAGAATATCAGATATACTGAAAAGTATCCAATAATTCTCGTATTTGTTCCTACTTGTGTGTATTCTATTATTTTCTCTAATATCCTAACTAAAATAAAAATCGTTTTTCCCACAGCCCTTTCGCATTTTGTTACGGAGACAATTATATATTTCATTGTCTTAACACCGTTGTAGGAATGTGTCTTCGACGTCGATTTGTGAGTTAACAGAGAAAATACATTTCAAAATTTAGAAATCTAGTATACAGGTAATCACTTATGATCTAAATTAAATGAATGGATACCACAACAAAACTGATAAATTTTAAATTCTGTCTTGTGCACCTACGACGACTGATTATCTGTTTCTAATAGGGTGTTAGAAAGTAATCTTTAGTTCTCAACGAAGACCTTAATTTGTGTTCCTATTATGTTTCAATCTCAGATAGCTAAAATTAGCCACATTAATGAATACTTTACATTTTCCTGTTAACATTGACCGAGTGTGTGCTACGCATGTGCTAATAACACTGCTAAGTGTTCTATGTTATATTACTCAGCATAAAAGACATTTCAACTCAGTCAAAATAGAATAACTGTTTTGTTGTTTCCTTGCCTCATCCTAGACTCTTTGTCAAAGAGGCGACAAATGATTGTGTAAAAAGAAAAGGAATGTGTATCGCAAGAACATTTAACATTTAAACACTCTTTTAACTTTTCAGAGAAATGATAAAACAGAATCATGTAAAACCTTTTGCGTGAACTTAAGTTGTTCCACACAAAGTGTCAATGAAGATTGGTAGACATTTTGAATTTGACTTGACGATAAATCTGACAAATTACAAACATACTTAATATAGTAGGGTGGTTAAGGATGTTTTTCGAATGTTTAAGTCAAACTACCAAATCTTATAGAAACTTGAACTAAATGATTTTAGAAATTCAATATTCAAAAGTGTTTATTTTGTGCATATTGCTGATCAAATAGAAAGAGAATGTAAATGCTGTTTCCTTAACAGTCTGTTATCATTAAATTCAAAAAGACAAATAACTAGAACCTCTTACAAATTTTGTTGGTTAACTGTTTACACTGAATTCGCTTGACTGTCAGACTATAATATAGTACAACTTGAATTTTTTAGATTTATTCATTCAAAACTTCGTTTTGCTTATACTATAGGATAGATATCGTTTTTAATGAGATCCTTAAGATTTTCCATTAGCCGTTATCTCTAGTTATCGGGTCACTAATCAACTAGACTATTTTATGCGCTTACACATACACACACGTAATATCTATGGCTTAGTGTAGCGAATCGGTCAATCGTGGTTACTGAATTTCATTGATTTATTTTTTATATTTATCTCAGTCATTGGATTTATTTGCTGCTATATTGATGTTTTACTTAAATGGTTCACACTCCCACACTGGGATCATTTATACAGTGACGTGAGAATGCAGGGTAAAAGGGAATTTTCGGAGACCAAAGCAAATGCGAATTGGTAAATATTTCTGTGATGATGATAACTTTTTGTCTATTTCATCAGACTATATAGAGTTGCGTAATCGAATTTAGGGTTTATCATTTTAATCATTCATATTCCGTATTTATGTTGGAGAAAATAAATCGTTTACACACTACAGTATATCATCAAATGATTGTAACAGAATTAGTGTTTAAATGGGAATCATATGTCCATAAATAATTGCTACTTTTGTTCATTAAGATATCTGATTTTTTTCTAAAGCGTGTGTATTTTTTTTAATGACTTGTATCGACAGTTCATATTTTAAGTCATTTTCATTTTATAAAGGTTCTCACTGATGGTGTTACAAGTTGTATATATATATATATATATATATATATATATATATATATATATATATATATATATATATATATATATATACTGCTAGTTAGTGGATGAAATCCATAGCCTTAAAATGAAAATGATATTCAGTGAGATATTTGAATTAGTTCCTACTGTGGTTTATATGTGTTTGGCGAATATTATAACCTTGTAGAGTGACTCCCCAGCGTTTCATGATAAGCATGCGAAGTTACATGAAACCGTGACTAGTCACCAGAATTTCGTGACAAAGCTTCGATAGGCTGAATAAATCAATTCGCTTGTGCTGAACCGGCTTGTTAGAATAAAGAAGTGAGAATAAAGTACTTTTCCCAATCTGAATTATCATCTTTATGTTTGGAAATTTTCTCAGTATTGGAAGTTTTAAATTGCATGTAAATTAGCAGGCATTTATTTTACTGTAGTCGACTTAGAAATCTATCATCATGCAACATATATAGGGATTTGTTTTTATTTCTTTACCTCCAGGTAAACGTCATTTGCGATATACATTTTATTGGATCTTGATTTTACTTTTATCACTCCTGGGCTCTACATTTCACATTATTGTTGGGATCCGTAGCGAACAAACACTGTATACTAGATATAGTAAATATCTATTATTACTATTGTCACTTAAAATATTACTAAAAGTACTTACAAAACAAGAAATGCATTATTGTTAGTTCACATATGTCTTTTTTTCATTTCCAGCTACTTAGATTTGCGTCCCATCCCGAACAATCTCAGAATGCCACTGTTAATCCGCTGAATGCTGCATTCTGTCCGAAGAAGAAGGCCGGCCCAGACTGTCCTCCAACAGGAATGATACCTTTATCACCTTGCTCAAACCCTAAGATTTCGGTCCCTATATTTGCTTGCCAGCCACATTTCTTGGGAGCTGATCCAAGTATTCGGGCAGCTATGGATGGGATAAGAAAACCTGATGAAAAGCTTGATTCTACTGTATTACTTATTGAGCCTGTGAGTGACATATGTTGATATTTCGTTTTACTAGTTAACTACTTGAGCTGATCTTCAAACTGTATAACTCACTGATTGACTTATTCTTCCTGGTTTGCCTTAAATTCATTTTCTTAAATTACCATTCTCCTATACTGTACTAGTGCTAGGTTGAGAATGACGAAATTCATTTTATGTTTTAATATCTATAAACAACTAAAATGTTAATAAACATGTTCTGTCTAGAAGCAGTTCACATTTGTCACAATTTACGATAGTTCATACAGAGTATTTCACCTGTCACTCGTCTGCTTTCCTAATTTTCTCGCTCATATTAACTGATACCTTGTGATAAAAACAGACTTTGCCTGATCGTGTTCTTCGTTTTGGCGTTGGCTGTTTACAGTTCGCAGCTCTTATTTCCAATTTTGATACTATCTCAGTTAAGGAAGATGCTTTCATTATAGTTTGGTTGATATATAACTGTGTTCGTATAGTTTTAGAATCTTTAGTTACGTGGCAGTTAGTTGCGTTCTAGGTTTTTGAAGACGATCATTATTGGTATAATTAGAACCAAGTAAAGTTTAAATACTCTTCCCAATAAGTCATTTGTGTGCTCACTGATGCTTAGCTTGCGAGACTAATTCTTCCTTATATTAGATGGTGGTTGGAGGTAGTCGACAGGAAACCCTGGACCCGGATTTCGTGCTACTTGGCATTTGTTAGCAACGTGTACCTGTAATCTTGAGGGAACTGGTGCTCCCTGGCGGATTCGATCTCGTGTCACCCAGTTTCACAGTCAGAGACGTTACCACTGAGTTATCCGAGCCGCGACCGACCTCCTGTAGGAATGAGATGTAATCACAATTGATTGATCACTGGGTGGCGATCAATATCATGCGTGTCTAGTCCGCAGTGTCGAGTCACCTAGACTGGTGGCCACATTGCAACATGATCGATAGCATTCGATCTGCACCAATAAGGACTAGACACGCATGAAATTGATCGCCACCCAGTGACCAATCAATTGTGATCTTCCTTATATATTTACAGATGTCTGAAATTTATCGCTATACATTACAGTCGACTTATTGAGTATAATAGTCATGTCTCAATCAATCATTATCAAAACCTATTAAGTATATGTTATTTTTTCTACCTGGTTATGATGTTTTATTATAAGTATTACATAATTAGGGTTGACATTGTAAGTTCTTTGATTCGAAGTTTACATATCCAGTTATTTTGTAAATCAGAAATTTACCATAAATTGGTAACATGTGATAGTTTTCCTATTTTTTGAGATATTCACACTTCATGATAAATAGACATACATATTGTTCCTGCTACAATATAAGACCTAAATTGAAATTATTTTAATAAGTATGTAAACATTATGTTTATTCTTCTTGCTTTTTCTTAATACACCATAGAATACTGGATTTGTATTGGAAGCTTTTAAAAAGATTCAGATTAATGCATACATTGAAAACGATGGCGGTTTGTAAGTTATTTTTAGTCATATTAAGAAAACTATAATGCTTTTTCTTTCATACACTACTTATTTTCAATAAAATTTGTTTGAATATAATTAATTAAAAGTCTCATTTTCAAACTTTATGCTTAAATATCATTTACTTCTAGACTGAAGTCCACTACGCTAAGTAATTAATATGACTGGGTTATGCACCGAAATACATAAAATCCTGGAGAAATGTAAATTTATATATGGTTTGGGCGTAATCTTGGTCTATTTTGTGGTGCACTTTCAACTTTAAAAGTGCAATATAATGATAAAAATTTACTTTTAATGCACCCTTTCTAAATATTTGGTCTACTGTTTCATCATGGCCAACTGTCTGTAGATATTGTTTGTTGAAGTGCTAAATGAATTCTTGATTAGTATTTAAGTACTTAGTTGATAGGTATTTAACCATATTAATATCCATCAGTTTAGTTTTCGCCAATTACAGGTCTCTGTATTTTCTTCCATCAACCTACGACTTGCTGTGAAGAGTGTCATTATTGATGTCTCATAACGTTCATCAACCAAGCACTGTTTTTGCTTATTTGATTCGGATTTCCGTTTGGACTTTATATAAAATACGATGTTTTCCAATATAAGCGTGAAAAAAGTTGTATACTTTTTGTGTGGCATGTAGAAAATCCGTTATCGAATTAAAGCCTATTTAACAAGATATAAACATTTATCAAAAATTTGAAACAGTTCGAAAAGCCAGGTAACTAAATTCTGTTAAATATAATACAACAAGACTACATGACGGTTACAACCCAGTAGTTAACATAACCAGATATACGATTCTACAGAACAACTAATAAAATCAACATGATTTGTCTGTCCAGAGATTAGAATAAGCTCATATGGCGTTATGATGCAAATGTCACCACAAAACTGCGTTGATTTTCAGAACAGTTGCAATACTAAAATCATGGCTTCGGTTAACAGATTACTCATTCTCTCCATATTTCGCTTGTGTCCAGGTGTTTACATATTTCCTCAAATTTAGATTTCTTTTAATTCTAAAGGATAAGACTGATGGATGTTGTGCTTTTTACTTTTGTTTCTTGTGTAGGAATGAAGTATACCAAGATATGGCAGGACCATATTTCTTCCCCTTAGCTTGGTTCACTGAGGTACGTGATGATAGGAATGAAGATTTTCAATAATTGTTTTGGTGATGCAATATTCGTTATCACTTGTAATTTCTTAAAATTATTTTTATCATCCTGCTTTCAATAAATCAAGTAGTTCGATCACCTAGATATATTCGCTTGTTGGTTACCACAATTTCATAAGAAACGCATTAAGACAGTTTTCTCTTGATCAGTTTTCTACTCAAAACTCATAAAATTTACTAATAACTGGTTTCTATATCCTACTAGAAAACGTTCGTTTTTTTATATAAGCGGCCTTCTTACATGTAATCCAGGATCGCTCCATTTAAGGTTTTAAAGTAAAGTTTTACTAAACGTAATTAGTCCAATCGTTGTGTTTTCAACTGAGTAAAACGTTTTCACATAGTCGTTACTGGTGATTTATTTTTTCCTTGACGTTTTTATAGTCATTATAAAGGTGATTTAAAAAATGGGATATTGAAACATAACAATAGGTTCGAACATTTATTAAACGACGAGTTTCCATTACTGTTAAATCCATCGGATGTAATTAGGAAATACAATGTTCACTAATTTTCAGCATTAACTATCCAAACAAAAATTTTTTATTTTCATATGAATATGCCCTTCTAAATCAACCAAACAGTCAATTCAATAACACAAAACATAAATGATCAATAGCTCCCTTCACTTATTTATTTATCGAAACAAGTTTGTGGAACATTGTCATAATTTACGTACTTAAGCCTGTTACTGCCGACCTACCATCTCCACCTAGCTCTGTCCTGGGATGATCTTAGTAATTTTTCCAATGTCTGTTCATTCTTATGATGTCTGCCCCTATATTTCGGTACAATGTGTTCTTATTTAGAATGTTAGAACATGGATATGTCCTTATGAAAGCCTGTAACATCCTACGAAATCGATCTCTATCATCTTCGTCGCTGTCATTAGTAGGTACGTAGCACTGGATGACAGACATCGTAACCCCTCAATTCTCCACTTTTAAAGGTACTTTGATGATCCTAGAGTCGTGATTTATTATTGTTTTTGTCTGGACTTTGTCCGATGAGTTCCACTTGTTTGAAACACAGTCAGATTGCATCTCCTCATTTGTACTGCTGTCTGAGTGAGCTTCCCTGTCACCTACAATGTGTGGAAATTTCACATGCTTGTGCTAATTGTGGTTGTGGTTGTCAGAAGTGTGGTCGGTCTGCTGACTTCTGAAGAATGTTGGCCTCCATCATGTGAGGTATGATAAGCCATTCAGTTGTTAGAAGAGGGGTTGAATTGTTCAGATGATTATTTGTGGTTAGGTTTTTTTGTCGAGTTTCCTTTTTCGGAGGATATGTTGGTAATCCTACACTCAACCTTTTCAACTACTGGGGTTTAGAAGCGGCAGTAACTCTAGAGTGACTACAGGTGGGTGTGAATTATTTTATCCATACATCTACTTGAAATTTAAATCATATTTTTTCACACATCCTTTTTTGCTTTTGGAATTATATTTAGAGTTTACGGCTATGTTGTTACTGTTTTGCTTTCAGTTTGCAGTGGCTGACAAAAAGGCGTTAAGTAAAATATCAAACTATATTCTTAAGCCTAAGAAAATAATACCTATTGTTTTATCAACTGTCGGTTCACTTGCACTTATATCAGCCGTCATTTTGATAGCAGTTCTATTAAAGCGTTATAAATTAACAAAAACTGATAGTGCTTCTATTCACGGTCAAGCTGAATCTACATTCATGCCAACAGATTCTGGGTTATGTAATAAAACAGATGAAAGCCCATTTGATCAATGGACTGTTAAACCTTCACCAGAACACGAATCTTTTCAGGTAAGTTAGCATGATATATTAAACGCTATTTAGTCAAGTAATTTGAATTAGTCAGTTGCAGATACTTCGTTACTTTTATGTCACTTCATTTTCTTATCAGTTCTACAAACCTCACCCAGTAATTATTTGTTTCTGAGTAAAGTGTATATATCAGTTCCTAATTATAGATCAATTCACTATTCATCAATTCAAGTATTTTATAGTAACATTTAGTGTACATCTGTGCAACTGATTTAGAAGAAATATGTACTATTACGTGATAATTTGTTATATCATTGTACCCATCGCAAATCCAAACCCTAGTTCTTCATTGATCTTGCCTACGTCATTTATACATCTTTTGTTTGTGGTCAACCGAATATTGGTCTATCAATTTTGTCTAAATTGCAACCAAGTCACAATTCTATATGCCTAATCATATCTATGCACATTGTACCAGGTTCTACGTTGCTTATGATTTATTGACATAAGTATTGATTATTTATCGAAAGTATATATAGTCAAGTTCATACTATAAACTGACCATCCAAGTAACTGAAAAGAAATAATAATAATAAATTCAGGATTATAATGTATTTCAGCAGATTTTCGAAATACTCTTCTTAAACATTTTGAAGTAAGATTCCTGTCAAGCAACTATTGATGGCATTCATTATACTCTGATTGATATAATAAACCCTATGATAGTTTGTACACCAACAATATGTAAAAGTTTAAATAGTAACGTCTGAGGAAGCTTGAGTTTATTTGACTTCTATATATATTTATTATCACACGCTGCACATTTACGCGATTATAGGAAGAGGTTATCGACCGCCTGCAGTCTCCTCCAGACAGAATACTTATAACTTCTCTGTAATACGTAAGCGAATTTGACACTACAATTTTTTATTAACGAATAAACCTTGCATAAAGTTGTCGAATCACACTCTTTCAATAACTGGGCGACAACATTATTTGCGTTAAACAATCACCCTTTTGGTGGAAGTAAGGTTCTTTCTGCTACTTAACTAACAATACCAATATCTGTTCGCTTGAACATGTCGTATTATTTGTCTTCTTTAAGTACGTTTCTGTTATCATAGACAATTCATTCTTATCTTTCATCAATCTATTGGTGCATGGTAAAGTTTCTTGGTTAATATATACCTAACCGGTGTGCTTATGTTCCAGGTTTTCCTGTCCCCAACTCAATTTGATCCGTGATTTTTCTATAAAAAAATTTTATTCGGTGTAATAAACCACTTTCTTTGTCTGTTGATTGTTCTTCTCCTAATCCAAAAGTAGATGGATAACTATGTACCAAAAAACAATAAATAACTAATGATAATAGGTTTCTACCAATTTATTAAGTCCATTCCATTTTTTTCTGTAAATAAATATATACATATACATAACAATGCAATTAATCTTAATGGATGATAATTCCTGGGTCTATAATCGATGAAAAAAATTTTTTTTTACAAATTATTATTTTCATTATTGTCACAAAATTATTTTATTGTAAGGTATGAATAGTTGCTGTTCAATATCCATAAAGTTGATTTTCAGTAACATTGAATCGAGCTTAGTGATGTTACCTGTAAACTTAATGGCTAAGTACCGCGATTCATTCATTGAATAGCGTACAACGTATGGTTTTGTTTGGTCAAATGATCGTAGCCAATTGTAAATATAATCTGTGGACAATCTCCCCCATGTGAATAGCCAAAATAAACTTAAGCATACAACTATTTGATTGATCAACTTCTTCACCATGTCTACTTAAAGTTGGTAACAGTTTAATTATCAAATTTAAATATCTGTTCATCTTTCTGAAAATTCCAGTAGTATTTCTATACCTCTAAATGAGCATACGTTACAGCTTGATAAACTTTTATTTCATTGTTTTTTTGCTGTGCTCTTAAACCACGTTTTTACCGTTGATTTTGTATATAATCAGAAGTAAAAAATTCAATTATCTCGATCCAAGTTAGGATTTTTTTTATATGTCTGGTTTACTTTGTTAATATGGTTTTATTAAATAAATCTTGATTGGAATGCTAACCTTTTTAATCTCATTAGTACATATCTAATGTCAAGCCTCTAATTGTATGTGACATCAAATGTATTTTAAGACATTCAGGCATCATTTCTAAAGGTTTCTGCTGTATGTTCATTCACTCCACATTGTGTTACGTTTGTCATGCATTAACGAATATCAAGTGATTTAATTCTATCGATATTTATATGAAATTTCAATGAATGCAGCAGGTATTATACACACTTATGATAAGTTCAGGACCATCAATCTAAATCAAATCGTATATTAATACTAGGTTATTATTTTCGCTTTGTATTATCTCTTTAATCCTTCACTAACCGCTACGATCAAAGGAATTTTAGGCATCAGATAAATAAAGGTTTCTTCAACCTGCTATACATCAACATTATGTTTAATTGTTCACATTTCAAAGGGAAATTTCACTTATGTTATTGATAAATATTTGAGAAAACCACTCACTATTGCCGTTTACTTAACATGGTATTTATTTTAAATTACGAAACCTTAACAGTAAGCAATATCATATTTTATCCCAATGTAACTCTAGGGAGGTGTTCTAAAAGTAGACCATCTGTTGGACATCTTTTGAGTTGAATTCCTTCATGTACGTAACAAAGACATTTAATAATAACGACTGAAGATATTGTCGTACGTTTTACTGTATGTGGTTCTCAAATATGCACTTTCACCTTGATGATATTAGTGTCGTTTTATGCATATGTCAATAAGTTTATTAAATTTATCATCCCTGCACTGTGTTACATATATTTAAATTCTTATTTCCATTTTAACATCTTTGTTGGGTGTGTGGATTATTTTTACTGCCTACAGGTTAGAACTTTAATAATGATGTGTTTTAGAAGGTCAGTATTATACTAGGACTATAAAGTAGTGCTCAATTTTATAAACAGAAGTAAAAGAAATGGAACTTTGTAATGAGATGCGAATACTTACACAGGTAGAATTCTACTGAGTTACACCCGAATCATATTTAAATGCTTTCATCACTTCATTTGATAATTCAGACATTTAATGGGGTTTAATCTTTTGTGTTAATTACATTCTAGATACCTACACAAAATAAATAAATGTCGTTTTGTTTTAATCTACAGTCAATTATTACTTTTCACATAAATATTCCATGAAGGACACAATAATCAACCTAACATTCTTGTAATCGCCCCAATTCTTATAGTTTAGCATTTCTCATTTCGTTAATTTTTTATCCTACTCAGATTTGTTAACAAACTGACTGAATCTTTTGTTTGAAGCTCAGTTCTGTTTGTATCTGCCCACTTAAAAAAGTGCTTGACCACTTCATCAAGAATGTTTCAATAGTTTCCCAAACTATCATTTTCTTTTATGTCAAAAAGTTCGACAGTTTCATTTTTGTATAATACACAATTTTACTCACCCTCTATCCTTCCTTCACCAGAAATATACTACAATAACTACCCTCTTAGTTAAGATTGATTTACGAGTTTGTTAATCCAATCCTAATTTAATTGATATAAATATAAATTATTACTGCTCGAAATCCATTCTTAGTATCATTTCTATTTAAAAATGGAAATTTGGAAATTTTTTCAATCTTGAAAGCATTAAGGAAGTAACACTGGTCAACATTATGCTCAATTGAATCTTCTATTATTCTTTATATTCATCTCCGTTTTTACTGCTTTCAACTAGTTTGATATAACTTGCTTATTCTTTCTTGTAGAATATGAAAAAGAGTGAACCTCAACATTTCTTTATTCAAATCGGCTTGCTCGCTCCATGTATATATTTAATAATTCTTTTGTAACGTTATCATCATATTTCCATCTCTTTTATGTTTTACTAGGTTATCGAATCAAAACCTTTGCTCAAACCTAGTGATACAGGTGGAAAAACAGTTGTCTGATTTATTTATCCTCGTTGCTGTCAATTCGTCTGTTAGTCCCCCAGCTACATATAAATGGTGCTCACTGTTTTCGCGAAACCAATCGAAGTATTTTTTTTATCAAAACAAAGGAATATGAAATGATCCGATTTCATTCTTCTTCTTCTTCTATTGTAGTGCTTCCCGTAACCTTATCCCAGTGCTCATTGAAATTTATTTCTACATTACACTGTTTATTTCAAATGTATAATACAATAACCATATCCTAAACTTTTAAACTTTAGAAACCAGTCCGCTGACTATTCGTACCTTCTTCTCTCCAAGAAATGTAACCAATCTGTTTGTTGATTTTCTTCTCGCCTTTGAGCTTTTTAAGGCTCAATGCTTAAAGCTTATTTAGGTGCTTCCTTTTTTAACCTATATTAGATTTGCTGTATGCATACGATTATATATGTACTTTATGTCATAATGGATCTTTAACTGCAACCGGATGTTTTTGATATTTTCTCTCACCAACATCCCTATCAAAACTCTATTCTATCTAAGCATAATTTTCGCTCGGATCATGCTTTTCAACTTCCTTCTACATTGTATTCAAAAAGTTACTCCCTTTATTCTTTCTAAGAATATGGTAACTCTAATTTTGGTTTGCGAATCAAGTAATTAGATTATATATTTTTGTTATTTCTGTTCACAATTTGTTGTATTCTCCTTATTCATATTAGTGCTTTACTCCTCATGCCGATTCACCCACTGTGTCCTATCTATCGTTTTTACAAATACTGCCTTTTGTTTGTATTCGCCGCTTTAATTAGCATTTGTTATATTATAAAAAATCTTGTTTTTTTATTTTCAACAACTCAATACAAAATAGAGGTATTGGATTTCAATGATCTTTTCAAACGTTTGATGTAGTTGATATCAATTTTCTCTATGGTATTTGTGTAGGCAGTATAGTGTTCAAGCACTACAGCGATGTGATAGGTGTTTTGATAGCTGTTTAAGTGAACTTAGTTACATTTTAGTAACTGTGTAAGGCGATAAATGCACAAAATTTCTGCCCACATGCATACAATATTCAAATGTGTAGATTGGAATATGATTCGTGTATGCTCTGTGTTTGTCAAAAGGAAAGTTTCTATTTTGCTTAATTTTCTGTATTTAAAAAAATGTCTCGTTTATTTAAAAAGCAGACGTCGGTGAAATTACTGAAAGTGTATAAGATGTGCTTAATGAATCATAAATCATAACACCGATTTGTTGGAAACGGAAAGATACTTCATGATCTTTTACTCCATAGATTGCGAGGATGGTTTTAATACTGATTATTTAATCCCACCTTTTTTATTCAAATAATGACACTTCGTTATCCAAGCATAGTATCTACAATACAGTGCGTCAGATTGGGAGTTTTCTACAGGAACTTATTTACATTATGTTATATAGTGTTTGGTGATATAAACGTCAGACTGTGTTATCAACACACCATAAGTCGTAAACAATTCATGACTTAAACAGGGTTGTATTTACGCTACTCATAATATAATCGTTGCTTGAAAACTCTATGAATGTTTCCTCTCCACTTATTTTATTATATCTTCTCTTTCGATTAAAAATGTTTGAGTTGTATTCTAAGTGCTATCGTTGTTTTGATCAACTTGACATTTTATTGCGATGATGGTATTTGTCGCAAATTACTGACCCAAATAAATGTTCAAAATAAAGCGGTTCAAAAAGTTTAAACCTTGACTAAGTAATTCATCACGGAGAGCTTGTCAGCACCATAGCTGAAAAGCTAGAAAACAGTTCATTTTATAACTCTTCCTGTTAAAAAATTCCTTTTTTTAATGAAAATTATTGCTTCTTCATGTGTTCTCAATAGAGTAGTAACTAAATCATTTCATGATCATGTAATGTATACAAGTTTAAAACGCTTCAAAACTGAATTATATTTTGATTAGATTTGGTTATTTACTTATTCTCTGAATAAGCGACTTGCATTCAGCCACAAATTTACAGAAATTCATTTTTCTACTCGTTAGGATATTTACTAATTTGTCTTTATTTTTACTAATAGCAGTGAATAGTTTGTTCCTGTTAGTTGACTTCAGTTTATAGCAAAGCTATCATGACAAATTATCTAAAGTAGTGTACTCTATCACATGTTTGTTCATCGGTTATAAATAGTGTTTACTTATTACCATTTAGAGTAAAGTAGAAATGAAATCTTTATATTCATTCAATTCCACCTCTAAATACCTAGTTTATTGTATTTTCGAAAACTATAAACACTAAATATCAAGGTATGAATAAGGCAATATAGTCTAATCATTAAATACAGAAAGATTTTAAAATAAATTAATGAAAACAGTAAATTATAACTTTCAGTGAGCACAATTGGTTGCTTTGACGGTACACTAATAATTTAACTGAATTTATCAGTTCATGCGAAAACCATTGAACAAGGCTGAGAAAAGATTCTCTATGAGATTTTGTAAAAGTGATTGGATTCTTGGTTAATATTTCAGGATGAGAAACATACTAGAGTCACCAAATTTAAGTTACGTTTCGGGGATATTTGTTATCAAGTACTTTGATAACTATTTATATATCATACAGAAGGAGAGTATAATCAAACTTTCTTAGTCACTAAGAAATTGTACTTGTTTCCCAGTCCAAATTTTTTATTGATCTATTAATTTTAGCCTAATCATTAATAACTTCATATTGATTGCTCTTTTCAATGTATGCTCTTATCAGAATTATTTGATATAACTATGTATTATACTGAATAGTCATTTTGATAAACATTATCTCAAATAAATAACATGAATTGAAAGAGAACCAAAAATTAATTATTGGGTACACCGTCTCAAAAACCGCTACAACAGTTCATACACAGCAAACTAACATTCGTTAACCCTTATGACAGGCAATTTATTTGATGTGTTATGGAAAACAATGAATGTTTGGCATTGATCGTCGTTCATAATTCGATGTTATCGGTGAAAAAACACAACAGTTTTCAAGTGAATTGAGTACCTGGATTCTTTTGGGCACCACTGACGTTTATGAACTAAACTAGTTCAATCACAAGATGTTTTGAGCATTTGCATCACTCATTAGTAGACTATTTAAGCTGGATACCAGGGGTATACACAGGTGCACATAATATTGGTTTGTGTTGAACAGTAGGTCGAATTTTGGGTTTATGATACGTGGGTGGGTATTACACTGACAAAAATCATATTCATACTCATAGTAGTTTAGTTAACGATCAAGGGCACTTACATTTAGCTCATTTGAGAGGACAGACCATATCGAAAAGTTTTAATGTCAACATATAATTAGATTTTTCTTTTCAACTATTAACCTGATATTAATAGACTTCTATCCTTCCATCTTGGTATGTGTGATATATAGTTCCACTGAACAATCAAAACGGAAAAGTCTTTGGTTTATCAAGATAGACATATTAATTAAAAAAAGAGAATAAACTAAACTAATTTAAATGTCAAACTTTTCTTCATGGCTCAGGGTCATTACGTTTCTTGTTTACAAAATATGAAAATATTACCATTTAGATATCCACCTTGTACAAACAATTGCTGTGTTTGTATCAGTTTTCATCTTGGTCTGATTTTTCTATTTCATGTTTACTTAGTTTAGTCATGTGATAAATAATTTGAAGAGTTATTATGAAAATAACTTTCTTTGTCATGGTCATATAACTACTAAACTAAGTTTCTATCTTAAGCTTCATGAAATGATAGTTCTTTCTTAATGGTGGAAAAATATCATAATTCAGAAGATAAGGTTGGTGATGTATGTTCTTCATCATCTATTCTTTGATTATTAAAAAGGCCAAAACACCTAGGTGCAAAGATTCATTGTGAGATCACATCTCATATAAAGATCTAGAAAAAACGTATATTTTTTGTTGACAAAATATGTAGATTTTAGAACTATTTGAAGGACTGTCATTAGGTAAATAAATTTTCCGTTCTATGAACGACTTAGAAAATGTAAACTATTTTTCTGTATGAACATAATACGTGTATGCTCTACGAAACAGAATGATGAATACTAACCATTTGGTTGCAATTAATGGCAATAAACTAATTACAACTTGATGACCAAATGGATAATATTCTGTGGATCAGTTGAGTTCCACTTTTAAAATTAGGAACATTGAGAAAACTTCTAATGATAGAGACTAGGACACAAAAAACATGAAGAATTTCTACAATTTCAAAAATGTTATTCCTTTTTCCAACGAGGAAATCAGTAAATAAGTATAAAATTGGGCTGATTGTATGGATTTTATTGAAAATGTTTAGCAGCGACCCCATTTATAAAATCCACACATTAATATTCGAAAATAAATACATTGTCTTTACGTCAGATCGGGTAATCTTATCTTCTAACCGCAATAATTTTTGATGCAAAATAAATGGGATATAGCTAGTAATAGGAGCCGGTGCATGTGATTCGTCGTATTTGGAGCTCGTCAGCTGAATTGAAATAATATTCTATTATCACAGCTCGTAAACGTTAAAAACGATCAGTATTATTGTAATAAGAAGGCCTGGTTTATCCTTATTCGCTTTATAGAAGTAGACAGCCAAACTGAAGAAAATTAATGCTATATAACTGTTAAGCATGTTACTTATTATTAGAAAGGGTTTTTGTGTATATGATAGTAATTGAATAGTTGAGTTCATGAGTCAATTGCAGTTAAACCACCATGGAAAACCTAGAAGAGTGGGACTCCTCTGCAGTGCGCATCCATAAACCCATAATGGTGGACGGTGGCTCAATTTCGTGGATTGGTTGAGCTTAGACATTAACACTGTTGGGTGCCAGCTCAGTGGTCCAGAGGTTAAGCGTTCGCGCCCGACACCGGTAGGCCCCGGGTTCGAATCCAGCGGGATGGGATCGTGGATGCGCACTCTTGAGGAGTCCCACACTAGGACGGAACGGCTGTCCAGTGCTTCTAGGTTTTCCATGGTGGTTTAACT